GGGCCTTTCTTTGCAGCTACAGCATCCTCTCCACATTTGGGAGTATGTCTGTAGGAATTTGCACCCATTCAGCCAAAAGAGCATTTGTGAGGAATGATATTGATAACAGATAAGAAGACCTGGTTTACAATTAATATTCCAATTTATGCCGAAAGTGTCCATAGGGTTAAGGTCAGGGCTTCTGTGAAGGCCACTAGAGTTCCTCCTTACCAAACTCATCAAACCCATGTTTTTATGAAGCCGACCTTGTGCACAGGAGCACAGCCATGCTGGAAGAGAAAAGGGCCCTCCCTAACTTCCCTGAATGTTGGCACAAGGTTGGAAGCACACAATTGGGGTCATTTGGAGGGGTATCCACATACTTTTGAGCATATAGTGTGGGGGTCAGGTGTTCACAAACGTTTGTTCATACATTTCTTGCATTTTGTTATTTTAATTAGTTAGCTCTTTTCACCAATCAGAAGCCAGCGCTATTTTATGAAGAATAAATAAAAATCAAACCAATATTATGTTTAGTAAGAACTGGTTCACACTTGAACTGCACAGGAACGTGGTCCATGTTTGCCACCCAGTACAGTGTGATTTTTCAGTCCATTCATTGGAAATTCATTCATTCATTCATTGGAAATGGCTGAAATTGCACTGGATTTCACCAAAAGTAGTGCATGCACTACTTTTCAAAAATGCAGTGCACTGGGTCGCATGGTTCTGCAGTACCATGCAATCCAGTTCAGGCATGTGCACTGCATTTTCAATCTGCCTTTGAGGCTGTGTTAAGATTATACTGACACCCGCAAAAGATTGCACACCCAGTGTGTTTTGTGGGAAATGTGCACATAACGTGGGTTTCCCCCACTGCGTTGTGAGCGAGCCCTCAATCTGACCATGTAAGAACATTTTTTTTTTCGTATTTCAATAGTTTTTTATTAATTTTTAAACACGCCCACGCAGGGCTATCAATGGCACATAAAAAGTAAAGAAAACAGTGTTCTAATACCAACAGAGCAAGGTGTGCACACGCAGGGGCTATCAATGGCATATAAATAAACAAAAAACAGTGATATAACACTGAAAGTAGCTCAGTAATAACAATTTTTGATTCAAAATATTTTTAATCATAAATTTTACAAATAACACATAGAGTTGGAATGAGAACTGTCCCTTTTCCTGCCTTCTCCCGTGCTGCTCTCATGTAGAGGTCAGCAATCATCATTGTGTGCAAAAAAGTAAAGATATGTTATGTAGCACTCTACATTTTAAGTCAATCGCCACAAACTATAAATGTTATTGTGTCATCAGAGGCAGGATGTATGTACATTATTGGTACCAATAGTTACATTTACCAATAATAATGACGTCTTGCACTGTCTGCGCAGTGCAGGGGCGGATTGCCCCCGGGCAATAGGGGATCATGGGGCCCCTGTGTCCTTGCCCAAACTCAAAAAAGCCTATGAAAAAGGTACCAGGGGCATCTCATGGGGCTCCCTACTGACCCCGGGCCCTCGGGCGGTGCCCGAGTTTCCAAATGGTCAGTCCGCCCCTGGCTTAGTGTAATGTATGTAAAATGTATAGCACAATGTCTCTCTCAGGCTCAGATCTCATGAAACATTCCTTATGGTCCATAATCCATACTCTTAACATTCCGAGCATTTTCTCGGCAGGTGCAAGCTGATGTATCAATAGCTCAATTATCGAAGCCTCTGCTGTGCTGTGCCCCTCCACAGATGACTGGGCATTCATTCAGCAGAAAATAAGATCTCCACTAGGTGCTATCTGTATACACAATGGTCAATATAGCACATTTACAACTTTTCTGTGTATATGAGTGTATTTTATGGTACTTTCATGCCTCTAACACACAAGTAAGCATTTGAATTTCTCCCCATGTGTATGGCTGCACCGCCTTATACCATAGTAAGTGTGAAGGAGGAACAAGCTTAGTAGGAGCATTCCCTTCTCTGCCCCTCTGTAATGCTAGGCTGATATAAAAAAACAAAAAAAAGGAACAAAAACAAGGAGACAGTTGTTGCAGTTACAGTATGTAGTCATTAATTACTACATATATTCTTAAATGCAACATCTTACTGTAATAGCCTTCATGGTAGAATTCAGACTGCGAAAGTGGAAGGGGCAGGACTAGGAGCCAATCAGGTAGTCTTGTCCCTGGCCATCGGGGCTCACAAAACGCTGCAAGGGGCCACGGTAATGGTGGAGCAACGCCAGACAGACTACAGCAAAATGATGACTTATCAGTATGCTGAGCCATCTTACATTGTTCAGTCAGCAACCTTGGGATATATTGTAGAACAAGCTGTTTTGGTTAAACGCCATATTGAAATGTGAGGTGAATAAGCTGACCTCCAGGAAACCTAAAAATCCTACCTTGCACCTGCACTTCAGAAGCTCAAGCTCAATTAAGTCTAGGAAACTTCATAAACACTTTTACTCACCCGATCTTCTGTTCCTTCAGGCTCCTCTGCACAGCTAGACTGCTTCCTCTTTTACCCTATGCTCCAGCGGTCTGGGATCCTATGTCGTCATCAAGACTGATGCAGGGACCATAGCACTGCTTTGGGAAAAGGCCACCACGGAAACATAGGGGAGTGCTGTCCACTCGGTGAGCAGAGGAATAAGTAAGTAAAACTGTTTTTCCTGCCCTCTAGACATAAATGAGCAATTAAAGTGTATGCTACCCTAAATATTTTTTTCTCCGTGTGTGTTTGTGTAGTTTATAAATCATAGGGTTGATTTACTAAAGGCAAATAGACTTTGCACTTTGCAAGTTTAGTTGCTCTAGAGCTTAGTAAATGACGGGAACCTCGCTGCCTTCCATCATCCAATTATGTGAAAGCAAACATGCTGTTTCTTTGTAAGATGAAGGTTCTTTTTATTTACTAAGCTCTGGAGCTTGCAAAGTGCACAGTGTATTTGCCTTTAGTAAATCCACCCCATAGTTTCTATCATTTTCATGTATGTCTTTCCTCTGAAGTATCTGGTTGATCCTGCCAGTCACCTTTCTTCCTTATTCTGAACTGACCACACAAAACATAGATGCTTGCCTGTATTTGTGTGGTCAGTTTGCATCCTTTGGCTCACCATTCAGGAGTACAGAAGGCTGTGCAGACACACAGCATGTCTGTATTGGATAGTGTGTTCAGCCACCTCACCCTCTGACCATTTATAGTCTTCCTCTGGCAAAACCCTTTTCTAATCATAGCCTGCCTCTTGAACACACCCCCTGGCTGAATCACAGCCTGTATGTTGCCATGTTGCCTCAGGCTGAACAGAGTATGGAGTACAGGCACTCTGTGTGTCTGCACAGTGTTGTAACCCTGCCCCTCACTATCAGGAAAAAGAATGGTCACATGACATAACATTACCCTGTAAAAAAAGATCTTTTCTGAAAATAGACAAAAGTCATTATGGTGTCTGCATAGTTATATATCTATTAGTGCCTAGCATCTCAAGGGTCCCACCTGCTACTTTTTTTCTGTTTCTGCAGTTCCGAGTAGTGGCCCCTCAGCCTGGGTAATTTCACCACTGCGGGTGGTGTTGTGGGTAAGAATAGCAAGATGTGGGTGGCATCGTGGATAAGAGTAGCATTAGTTGGTGGTCAGGTGTTGTGGGTAAGGGTAGCCAGAGTTGGGCCTGTCAGAGGTGTAACTAGCGATGGGTACCTGGGGCACATGCTTTGAATTTCCTGGTGGGTGCTCTTGGTCCCGGTCGCTAATTTTTTACTTACTGTCCTGACTTGCAGCCCTTAAAGCAAGAAACAGCCAAGCCAGGCAATTTAATCACCACAGCTTGCCTCTTTCTCCCACTGCAATTGGACAGTGTTGCAGGGAGAAGAGACAAAAGGATTCTAATTGGCTGTTGTGGCCGGGACCAGATCATGCCTACTGGCTAGGCTGAGAGAGCTCTGGGGAAGCAGGAGGAAAGGGATCACAGTGAAGCTGGATAGCAAGGAGTGGACTGTGCCCGCACACAGTGGTATGTACTACTGCAAGCTCTTGAGGTAAGTGATTATGGAAGATGTGTGGAAAATATAGTGGGGGGACATGGGTGTGGTAGGTGTGCAGTGGTAGAACAGGTATGCAGTGAGCAGTAGGGAAACAGGTGTGCAGAGGGCAGTATGGAACAGATGTGCAAAGGGAATTGGGAATTGGGAACAGGTATACAGGGACACTGGTGGAATAGGTGTGCAGGAGACAGTGGTGGAGCAGTTCTGCAGGGGTGGTGTCGAAACAGGGAGCAATAGTGAAACAGATGTCCAGGGGCAGTGAGAAAATGTCTGCAAGGGCAGTGGTAGACCCATTGTGCAGGGGGCAAGGGTGAAACAGATATGCTAGGGCAGTGGTGAAACAGGTATGCCCCAGGTATTTCACAATCCTAGTTACGCTCTTGATTCCTCCATTTCTGTTAATCATTTTTCATCCATCCAAGCAACACTGGTAACACCAAAGTGAATCAGGCTATGGACTTTTAGGCATTTGCATATTTTTAATAAGCAGAAAACTCACTTTAAAACCTCTGTAGCCACAAGTCATCCTAAAAAGATTACAGTAGAAGCGCTGACGTTGTTTATGTCAGATCACTAAGCACACCCTATATACAGTATATTAGCGATTAGAAGACTGGCACGTCACTTCTGGGATGGTGAGCAGGGGAAAATGAGCTGGTTTAGACAAGGAATTCAGTATTTGTACTGTGGTCATTTAAGATGAATTGCTTGCAGTTCCATTGGTCATGAGGGCTTGTTAATAAAGCTCTGCTTCCCCCAGAGGAAGATCCATTGTTTTCCCTGTTTCAGCGCTATAGCTTCCATCAATCTTTTCGCCATTCAACACTTCTGGGAGTGTCAGATGCCCATGTCCTCTGCTGTGTGCTTTGGTTTCATCCTCCAACTCCTACATCGTTACAGGGAACATCAGTGTTGTAGATGTTGGAGGATGGAACCCCAGCATGTGGTGGAGGACACAGGCATCCACCACGCCTTAAAAATGGTCTGACAGGACCAAGGGCGGACTGACAACGCATGGGGCCCCCGGGCAATAGGGGATCATGGGGCCCCTGTGTCCTTGTCCAAACTCAAAAAAGCCTATGAAAAAGGTACCAGGGGCATCTCATGGGGCCCACTACTGACCCCGGGCCCTGGGGCAGTGCCCGCGTTTTCCAAGTGGTCAGTCCACCCCTGGAGAGAACAGCACTGAAATGGAAGGAAGGGAATTTAAGCTGGGTATACACTAGTATTATTTTGAATAAATATTTGTATGAAAATTCTCAGTACATTTGATGGCTTGACAAGTGTCATTTGAAATTCTGTTTGCTTTTAACATTCAATTTTGGAATGAGTGTAATTTCCTGAACCAAAGCCACATAAACTGTTAGAAAAATGTTTGTTTGAGAAAACTTTTCCGTCCTGTTCCTTCAAATTTGTCTATCACTATGGTTGAAAACGTATGTCGATTTGACCCTCACTAACAATTAGAAAATCAAACAAATGTTGTTAAAATGAAAATTTTTTCTTAGAAAATTTACAAGTGTATACCCAAATTTAGGCTTGCATTTGAGTACAGATCCACTGTAAAAATGAACACTTTTATCCCATGTTCTTGCAGCTATTATGCAAACCCAGTATGTGAACAATATCCAAAAGCTGAAATTCAAGTGTATGAAAATGTATCTATTAGGTAGGAGCAAAAGTTTTATTAAGTTTTTTTTCACATGATGTAATGCCATGTATTGGCCTATATAAGGCATACACTGTCATGGTGTCGGCACTAGATGGATCCCTTTAAGAATGTGCGTGCGCACGAAACGCGTTAGAGATGAGCCTACGTGCTGTCGTCCACGTGATGGTCCGGCAGCCATCTTTTTAAGTGCTTTTTATCCATTGATGATTTTAAGCTCCACGTGGTTGCTATCTTTTTAATAAAATATACTACACTATATGATACTGTCTCCGGGCTCGGTCTATGAGCTTGCCCTCTAGGAGGAATCCCTTTCCTTGATTCACCGTGGGCTGGAGATGGAGACTACTCTACTTTTGATTGTTCATTTGGTGTATCACTGGCTTCTGGAGAGATCCCACCTTCAACTGGGTCACTGGCAGGAGGAACAAGCAGGAACACCCCTTAGTGTCATTCCGCTCTGCGCTTGCTTGCTACTTACTTCTGGTGAGTGCATTATGGTGGAGGTGCAGTGAGTATTATGACTATTATGATATTTAGAGGCCCTATATATTTTAATTTTTCATTGGAGTATGCACAATTCCCTATTTCTTTTTATCATGTTTCCATTCTTTTTTACAATCACACTGGTCATCATTGATTATAACACACATTTTTGTTAGCGCTGCACATTGATATTATAGTGTTTTGTTTTGGTGGAGACAGAGGGTTTGCCATGTTGTGATAGCTGCTTTACTTTTTCCTTTTTTGTCTTGCATTATACTTTGATAATACCATGGATTGATTTGAGGCCAATTTACACACAGAAAGAGCATATCCAATTTCTAGATGTAGTGTCACTAGGAACCACTAAGTCATACATTGCACAGGTGAAAATTCTATGGTGTCCATGAAAAGACATGTTGGTGTCAGGAATGATGGTGATAAAAATAAAGACATCTCTGGGGTGAACAGAAGAGGGTATCTTCTGTAGGAATGTCCCCTGAAGCTAAGTTCACTGCCTCCTCAGCTATGCACAGGATGCCCTGAGAGGTATCTTCTGCATGCAGCTATCAGAGAAGATTAATAGGTCCCTTCTCAGGTTTCTTCTTGGCTTGGTTATGGATCTCGATGCTATTCCAAGCTGCATATATATTTATGTAGGTGCGTACAGCGAAAACATGTGGTCGTGTGCCACTCTTCATAAAACAGCCCAGAAAAGGCTCTGCAATCCACATGGACAGTTCTTAGCCACAGCAGGTTCTTTGGCTTAGCCACATGTGGATCCTCCTGAGCTGGAGCCATGCAGCTATCTGATAGAGGAACACCATAAACTGGCCAAAATGGACTATTGACCTGGTGTTTCTCCACCACTGATCTGCAGACTGCTGGTGGTGTGCAGCTGGGAATCAATCTGTGGTTCAAGCTTTGGTTGCTATAATGACACGCATAAGTCACTTAAAAGCAGAAAAGATATTTTGTTTCTTAACTGTGTAAGTTTACAAGATGCCATCAATATAAATTGCAAAAAAATAAAAATAATTTATCTGTGTCTTTATTTTCATGCTAAATCCTCTTTTATGATCCAATTTATATTGTAGGGGTTTTTTTTTTTTTATGTTATTTTGTCGTTGCACAAAGGCCTCTATCTCTGCATGCCAGGCTGCTCTTTTACCCTTCACATCTTCTGACCAAATAATCTAATAGTTCACATTTTCCGTTGGTTAAGATTATTGCTCATTCTCAGGCGATAACTTGACCATGATAACTTAAGTTTAATTTTCTGAGACCACAGCCATAGCATTATCAGCCAGATATATTCAATGCTGATTAATTGATAATGGTGAATTTGGGTTTCCCAGCTAGGCTGAGGCTCAGGACCTAGGACTACTAATTTCATAAAACATTTTAAAGCAAGTCTGGTTACACTGCTTGTTTTTCATTTATAATGGTGAAATTAAAGATTTCTACATTATTTCATAATATTCTACAAAACTGTGGCATTACTTACTATGTGATTGGTTAAGTGAACTGATTTACAAAGTTAAAGGGGTCACATAATATTTCAGGAATGGATTGTCACTAGTTTTCATCCTAAAGTGTTTTATGCACTGGGGGCTGGAAGTAGAAATGGTTAACGGGATTACAGGGAGGAAGTCACCAATGGGGTGACTCCAGATCTTAGTGTGACTGCAGGGGCGGAATTTACATAATATACTGGAGAGCTGCTGGTTCCAAATAGTGGTATCATCTTCTTGACTCTACTGCGGGAATTTCAGAATTCTGGCAGTTAAAACAGTTCTTTCATAAGTAGTCTAGTAGTTTGGCTGAAGTTTCAATTTTAAAAAGACTGGATGTATTTGTTGCTTTTGATTCAGCTCTCTACGAAGACAAAAAAAAAGCCCCAAGGATCTAGTCTGAGATGAAGGATATGGAGAATGACAGGTCATCTTCCTGTACACCTGACTGTGGCACTTGATCCATGGGGGCAGCTGTGTTTTTGGAGTGTTCACAAGAAAAGCCCTACACATTTATCAGCTGTATGGTCAATGTAATGCCAAGGGCGTCATTGCTTTCATCTAGACCTCGTCTTAAACCCCACGAAGGAGTGCCATGCAGCTGATGAGATTAATTTCCACTTGATTTGTTTGTGTATACATTTGTTGGCTCACTGATCAAATGAAGACGCAGCAACAAACTTATGAGTAGAGGTCAAGAGGATGCACAAAGGCATATCACTTTACTAGCTAATAATGCCGACCTCTTTAAGAAGACCCCACTTAGAACTAAATGTAATGTAAGATTGCCACTTATCACTTGAAGCCCATTCTCACTTTAAAAAAACTCCAGCCTTACTGTGGACAAAAATTAGAATTTTCATTTTCACAAAATGTTGCCAAAAAGTGGTAGATTTTGATGAAATTTTGCCATTTTGGTAAAATCATTGGGGTCAAAGGGAAAGGCAAATAAATGTGTTTTGGTTGTTTATAAGGATACAATGGGCTGTAAATAACTCCTGAGGGTTATGCAAGCTCTTTTTAACTGTTCTGGGTCTTTTTTTTGTTCCAAAGAATTGACCCTCATTAACCTTGTTTTAAAAAATAGCAAAAAAGTGAAATAAAACATTTAAAGTTACAGTACACAATGTTCAAATATAAAAGAAAAAAAACGCAAATATAAAGAAAACTAAGAGAAATACACTAAAGTACCTGTAATAAACAAACAAACAAACAAACGAAGAAAACATACCTTCTAATTAACCACAGGGCACTTATACCCCCTTCGTGCCCAGGCCAATTTTCAGCTTTCAGCGCTGTCGCACGTTGAATGACAATTGAGCAGTCATGCAGCATTGTACCCATGTGAAATTTGTATAATTTTTTACGCAAAAATAGAACTTTATTTTGGTGGTATTTAATTGCCACTGGGTATTTTATTTTTTGCACTATAAACAAAAAAAAAGCAAAAAATTAAAAAAAATTTTTTTCTTTGTTTCTTTTATAAAATTTTGCAAACAGGTAATTTTTCTCCTTCACTGATGTGCGTTGATGAGGCTGCACTGATAGGCAGCACTGATGGGCACTGATAGGCAGCACTGATGGGCACTGATTAGGTGGCACGGATAGGCAGCACTGATGGGTACTGATAGGCTGCACTGATGAGGTGACACTGATGTGGCGGCACTGGTGGGCATTGATGAGGAGGCTCTGATGGTGCTGCACTGATACGCTGCAATGATAGGTGGTACTGATAGGCGGCACTGATGGGTGACACTGACGGACAGCGCCGACTGACGGCCTTGACAGGCAGCACTGACTGAAGGCACTGACTGGCGGCACTGATGGGTAGCACTGATGGGCACAATTGCACTGATGGGTGGCACTGCTGGGGGGCAATGGTGGGAGGCACTGATGGGTGGCACTGCTGGTCACTGGTGGGTGGCACTACTGGACGGCACTTCAGGGCACTAATAATCAGTGCCCTGATCATCAGTGCCGATCTCCTCTGTGACAGCTGCTGGTTATCGGCAGTACTTTCTTCACGCTGTGATAGCATGAGGAAAGTGCAGCCGATAAATGGCAACTGTATTTACTTCATGATCTGCTGTGTCATTGGACACAGCTGATCATGTGGTAAAAGGCCGCTATGATTGGCCTTTTACCTCATTATGTGATCAGCTGTGTCCATAGGACACAGCGATCATGGAGATCGCTGGGTGTGCACCCCTGGGGATGCACTGGAGGGCATGTTCTGGGAGGATGTCATATGACGCTCTCCCAGAACTGGGTAACGGCACTGTAGCCATCATTCGGCTATAGCGCGGTTACCAAGTGGTTAAGGAATAAAACAAGATCTTTTTTTTTTTACATTACATTTTTTGCATTAACCTCAAAGGGCTGCTGGTAATGACTGATTTTTCCCCAGATAGTATAGAGGCTGCCCGTCCCCACAAGCACCAGTCTATGCACAGCAGCTCCAATAACTCAGTCAAGGCAATTGTTTTTTTTTTATATTTATCACTTGAAGAACCTTAAATAGTGGGGGGGAGCGTTAGGGCATGGGATACTCCAAAACGCAGCACAGTGACAGAAGGACAATTTTCCCAAGGCTCCC